TCGGAGATTTTATAAAACTATTATATCTGTTCTTATAGATGCGATATATAGGATGTATTCCTTTTTATTATGTTTTATGATGTAAATAAATATAGTTATATATAATTGGATTATACCTACTTTCGTTTCCAAATCAACATCCCTTCCTTACAACTCGGACTTACCACTCGGATTACATAGGAAATAAGACATTCACCTTATCGCGAGTTGAAATTCGATACAAAATAATTATTCTAACTGGTGTCAGGACCTGACTATAGGTGAGCGAACCTTACCTTTCACTCAGTCTTACCTTTCACTCAGCCGTTTAATTTTATTTACTTATAAACTATCCTGTATAATGAACAGGGATCCCACCACCCCTTGATCTCACATTTGGGTGTCAGGAGTTTGGATGTTTTTTCATCTCCTCACAGTGAGTTTTCATATTTTATAGCCATCCTAAATTAGTGAGCGGAGACTCACGACCTTGATCTCACACTTACTAACTTATTTGCATGTTTGTTATAATCCATTATATAAATTGGTAATTGGCATCACAATTAAATTAGTTTCCTATGCTTAACATTTTTATTGTTTTGGTATTTTTGAAACCGTGCCAGTAATTAGTAATTCAAATGCAAATTATTTATTGTATTTATTCAGACACTTGGTAAATTTGCCAAGTCTCTGAATAAATACAATAAATAATTTGCGTTTGAATTACTATTTTTATTGTTTTATTTTTTTCATTAAACCTGGCGTAAACCGGAGAGGGGCCCACGGGGCTCGGACCCTCCCTGGTTTATGCCAATGATATAGCCAATTCTTTGGGCAGACCATTTAAATATTATCATAACTTTATAAGAAACTAGCTGCAAGTACTCGCTGGGTTTTTATTTGTTCGTACGTTTATATGTAATATAGTTTATATATAAAAGACTGTTTCTCTTCCTCTATATAATCGTTCTCTGATTCGATGTGTTTCCCTATAATTTTCAAGTTGCTCTTCTGTCTGATTATTTCTGTTTCGATATGATTCGAGACCGCAAAAATTCTTTCTTAAGCTTTGTCATTGTTTTTTTATATTTTTACTTTTCACACTTCACTATTCACTTTTCACTTTCTACTTTTTTCTGTTATTCGTAAACTTTTACTTATGAAAAATCAACTGAAGCATGTGTGTCATACGTCTCCAAAAGCCACCCCCGCTACTCATACATAACGGTCCTCGACTATTCCAAAACATTTAAGATTAAGATAATTACATTATAGCTAATTGTACTCGTTTTCAGAGAATGCAAGAATTAGATCCCCCGTTTCCAGACTAATTAGAGAATGCTTACAAGGGTCTAAAAATATGTTCGATTTCCCGCAAAAACGTAAAAAACCACATCTGCGCCTGTAAATCATGCACGCCGCTTTCTCTTAACACTTCCTTTGTTGCTGAACACTTCCATCAATTCTGATCTCTGCCTTGTGATGAAGATCAGCTCTCGCCAACTTCCGATGAACTTCAACGACTTCAGATAAAGTCTTAACTCGAGTTTCACTCGAGTGCAAAACCCGAGTCAATAGTCCTTTCTTCTTTGAAACTTGCATCTTCCTTCCTCTCCCATACAGGGAAGCTACAAGAGGTCGAAGATTAAGTCACCTGTAACCTGGTCAGGCCATCTGCAACTTTCCTCCATCGTTCTCGCACATCTAGAGATTCTTTCCATTGATATTTGTGATAAAAACACATTAATTATAATAAATAATTTTTTATAAATTGCTTTAAATTTATGGAGATTTAGATAGAACTTGTCTTCGAGATTTTCGAGTACTTTATGCTGAACATATAGAAATGATTGAATAGTGACATTTAAACGACAAAATGGTATGTAAATGCAGGATTTTTGTATTGTGATAACGGATAGGATGCGAATATGGATATAGCGTGAAGGGAGTAAGCCATTGAAATATTTATAAGTATATGTTTGATCAAAATATTGTATACGTTTGAAGGGGAGGAGTAAACCTAAACGGGAACGGTTATGTCAACTGAGTTGGTAAAATGTAGGATAGAAAGTTTATTAAGAGTTAAAACCGAATTATCTAAAATATATTTAAGTTTATTCAATAAGGCTACTGAGGCCAAAGCCCAAACAGGTAAAGCATAGTGAACAAAGGATTGAATATTAGTAAAAGATATTTCTTGCTAGACTTTTCTGGCATTCTTTATTTGTCTTTATCTTTAATGGTTGCAGCTATCATTACCTTTAAGACTTCAAATTGACTTAAAATTACTAATTCTAATGAGTAAAATTCCAATATTAATTAATGCTTTTTAGTATTTTCTAATAACATCTCATAACAGATAACGCCACACAGAATTTTAAATTTGAGCTAGTGTCATAGTGTTTTTTTTTTAATCTTATATATAATTTACTTTTTTAGATACAGATATTTTATTATAATTCAACAAAATTTCTCTTTTTAAGCTTTTTTTTATTAAGCAATTTCTTTCATTCTAATTCCGATAATGTCGTTAGAGTAAGGTTTAGTTTCTTTAATCTTTTTAAAATAATTTAATTCGGCAGAATTTTATTTTTTAAGTTTTTAAACGTATTCTACTTCTATTCTTTAAATATGTCAATTAAATATAAAATCTTTAGATAAAAATGTTCTATAACGTTTAAGAATGTCTGTAAAAAGTTATATTTTTATTTATAATTGCTGTCACTGTTTATACTTATTATGTTTGGAAAATCAATTAGAAAAGTTAATCATATTACAGAAACATTTAAAATACAATATATTAATTAATAATTTTATTTAAAATTTATAGCAATGTTTACTATTTCGGTAATTGTAAAAAATGTTTGAAACAGAGCGTCAACGAAACCTCTTCTATGTGGATTACAGAAGTGTGTTCTTTCTCAAAATGTTATCGTTCGATTTTGATTAAACTTTGCAATTTTCCATTATTTGCACTGAGAATTTCAAAAATTTAATAAAAATGGGAATCAATTACTTCGTTTTTGAGATACAGTGAGATCAAAGTGATAATATCCATGCTCTCTGACACGATTCGCCTAGCAGAATTTAGGGGAAAAAATGCATTGCGCGAGCTTAAAAGAAAAATGGGCATCAAAAACAAATAAAACACAAAATCAACAAAACATTGCTTTGTTGTTGAATCGGCTCTCGGATTAAACAATAAAATAAGTGTAAGGATCTCTCCTCCTCTGCGCTGCTAGATGCAATGACCGTTAATATGTGCCCGGCCAGTGCGGATCGCCTGTCCACGACTATCAGTTATAAGGATCGCCTTTTCCTTATGGCAAGTGCAAGGTCGCCTGTCCTTGTCCGGCAAATATAAGGATTGACTCTTCAGTGCCTAGCAGGTGCAAGAATCGCCTCTTTCTTTCTCCTCTTCTGCCTCAATTCTATTGCGATACGAAAATGTCGCGCGATATCCATAGTAATAAAGGTTATATATAGACGAATTATACCATAAAATTACTGTATTATGTTTAAAATATTATTTAGGTAGTGTATATCTAAATTTTTTAAATATACTTATTCAAGTAAATCAGCTATACTCGAACTTAATTATTGAATTGAATAATAATATAGCAATATAAATTAGAAATGTTATTTTATTGAAAAAATTTCGATAAATTTGAATTTCAATGTCTTATTTGCCAAAAATTGTTTCGTTTCAATAAAATAAAAGCTAACACTGTTCATCTAAATTATTTACGACTATTTCTCATGTATTAATTATATATACTGTAATATTTATTATCAAATTAATAGTAATTAAATAATTCAAAAATAAAATACAAAATTTTGTCATCGTCCTATACGTTCCATATAATAAAGTCATTCATAAATTTTAATATTTTGCAGTTTTATTTATTTTAATATTTTAACTAAAGAGAGCTTCAAATTAATACTGATTTTTTTAATTTATAAAAACTTTATAATATATTCAACTTTTTTAAAAAATCAAATTTAAATTGATAAACTTAAAGTTCAATTTTAAATTTAGTTTTAACTTCAACACCTTTTTTAATTGGAAAATGTTATCTGTATAATTCGTATAACATCTGACCTACATTTTGAACTTCTAGTTAAACAATTAACCTAAACATACCTGTATTTAATAATTTAATTTTTTGAAATGTCAAAGTTCTCAAGTCATACAATAATATTTTTAGTAATTATATTTTTCTGCTTATTAATTTAAGAGCATTTTTTTTTTTTGTAGTTTAAAACTAGTTCACATTAAATTACCTAGCGTGCATCACAATTTATTACGTGTGATAAATAACATTTTTAAGAAATCGAAATCAAAACCTAAATAATAATTATTTGTGAAGTTGTTGAACTTACTTCAAATTGATTTTATATACTGAACCGTTCAATTAATTCGTTTATCTTATTTAAAATGCTTAACTTCAATTTAAAAAAAAATAAACTTTTTAAATTTAATAAAAAGAAAAAGAAATGTTTTCAATTATCAGATCTTTTTCCTAAATATTTCCTTATCAATAGCATATAAATAATCGAATTTATAGCCCATTAATTCGTGCAGATAAGCGCAATTCCTTCAAATCTAATTATAAAAAAAAATCGTAAACAACAGTCAGAAAGGATGACCGGATTCTGCACTCCTGGAAACCCAACAGTTGTATTCCGTAAAGAAAGAAAATTTTCATTATAAAGAGGAAAATGTAGTATTTTGTGACGATTTCAGATTTTAAAGTTAGCAGAAGATAATATTTTTCTATGGCATAATCTTTAATATAATGAATCGTTTTTATACTTTCATCATAAATTTTTATCTGTAAAAAAAAATAATTTTAACTTTTCTTTAAAATTGTTAAATAAGATATTACGGAGACAATAACATTTTATAAATTTTTTATTAAACAATCGTGTATATAAAATAAAACATTCCTTACAGATAATACTTATTTAAAAACGTAACAAAATATTAATAATTTAAAAATAACTTTTAAAAAAGTCCATTAATCAGTATTATTGGTAATTTGCGGCACACTAGTAAAGATTACATTATTATTATTATTATTAGTAATATTATTACTATTGTTATATAAATTCTTTTTGTCTAATTTTAAAAAATCAAAAAGTTTATCACACGTATTTAATACTAAAGGTAAGAAAATGACACCGTGGACGAATGAGAATATCATAACTAAAAATATTATTTTAAAAAAAATAATGAATACGTCGGATGGAGCACGTGATAGAACTATCACACCAAGGACTGTTGAAATACATCCTTGAAAAACCGAAAAGCCAACATCTCTAAGTGCGTTTTGTAATTTGACATTTCTATCTTTCTCGGAACTATTTACATAAACATAACAGACGTGAGCCGAATAATCGACACAGAATCCTACAGACAACACTAAACATACCATGGATACGACATTCAATGGCACGTTCCAAATTGTCATAAAACCTAGCAGACCAATTTCCACTGAGATAATTGTAATAGATATACAGAAAGCACATACGATGTTTGGTACAAAGATAAGATACACGACCACAATCACCACAGCTGATATATATAAACACTGTATTGTTGTTGAATACAATTCACTATTTACGTCGTATAAAAAGAAGTACAAATTGTGAATATATACGGGATATTTAGCAGAATCGGCTATTTTCCATAAATTATTTATCAGCTGGTTTTCCACGAAAGAATTGGTCAAATTTGTGCATTGCAAGATAAACCTGGATGCCACTATACGTGTATCATTTTCATTAAATATAACATCTCCTTTATACCGTTTTGCAGATCTGAGATTCACAAAAGTTTTGAAACCTTGTATAAAATCTTCTGAATGACTTAAATTATATCCACCTAAAGTAAATCTCGATATAGGTTCCTTGGCAAATCGTAAATATTGATGGAGCCATGAATCTATTAGAGATATTCCTGCCATATTAGGGACATTCGCTATTTTGTTCAGGATATGATTGACGTCCATTTGCACTTGAGGATCTGAATAATCAAGTGTTTTATTTATGACCACTTGAACACTTAATGGATATTCCCTGAAATATTTATATTGAGCACCTATAAATGACGCAGCATAAGAGTAACGAGGCAGGGATGAATCATACTTGAATGTTGCATCTAAATAAGTTGCATAATAAGCAGATATGATTATATATAATACGTAAACGAACAACAGTGATAATTTTGTAGCATTATAAGTGAGTATCTTGCCTAGTTTTTCAAAAACTGTATTAATTAAAACATTCATCTGATGGGTATTTTGAAACCCTGTGAAATATATGGAATTTTTCTGGTATTCTGAAAAATAAATTGCAATGTTAATTACTAATTTCATTAACTAACATTACAAATAAAATAAACTCTACCTTCTTTCTGGAAATTGAGGTGATAACATAAGACCTCACGAAAACTGTTGTTTTCCATATAGCCACTGATAGAAAGACACCCACCATAAAATGTGATTTGTATCACATAAACAAATAATACTGCTAAGGCCATATGAAGACAATAAATACGTATCACTCGGTAGGGTGTGGATAATCCTATGCAGCTGGCTAAAAAGTTTGTTAAGGAAGTAATCGTCACAGAAATAGCAGCTTCGGAATAAGTTTCTTCCATCCTTTTCTCTACACACTTCTTTGGATCTGTTGTTCTCCATGCTGCTAAAAGAACGAAAGCATCATCCATTCCTACACCTAATATAACGACAAAATTTCTATTAAAATATGATATAATTAAATTTTATACGTATATATGGATTACGTACCTAAAATCAGAAAGGGAACTCCTATAGTAAGGTCAGCACAAGTTGCTCCACACAATTGTAAAAAAGAAAAAGCGAACAAGATTCCTAATCCAGATGACAGAGCCCCACAAATTCCAACTATAGGTTTACTAGTTTTCCAATGTAAAGTCATGCAAGAAACAGCACCAAAAATCAGCATGATTACAATTGCTAATATTAACATGGGTAATACAGCTTCTGTCACTTTACTAGTTTCTTCATCCCATGACTCTCTTATAAGTTTATAGACCCAAATATTCTCAAATTCATCTCCGGATATTTTATTTAAAAACATTCTTTCCCATTTTTTAGCAATTTTCATCTTCTCTGGAGTATAACTTTCTAAATTATAAAACAATCTGAGAGCCTTGACATATTTTACGTAACCTACTTCATCTACGGTCACACCGCCCAAATTATATGCATATACAGTAGCATAAAAAGTAAGATCATCCACATGAATTGGATACCTTAAAATTATTAAATATTTCAGAAAATGTAGAAATTGCTTAATATTAAATATTTAATTTTGTAAAACTCACCTGATATTAAACGTTCCTCTTTTCAGTTCTGATATTTTACCACGAAGATTCAAAACAGGATTAAAGAAACATTCTCCTTCATAAGATCTTTGGCAAATATCCGAATATCTTAAAGAACGATTTTCATGTTGTACAGTAATATTTCTTATCTTTTCGTTAAGAAGAAAAATATCATTCATGATGGATTCACGTAGCATGGAGCCTCCATCTTTAGCTTCCATTATCACCCATCCGTATCTAGGGAATCGGGATAGCCTCAATATATCCATTTCTTCTGCATCAGGAGGAAAAATAGATTCGACGGCTTCTCTTTCTCTTTTAGATCTACCATTTATAGGAGTCATTAGAAATTCTAAGTCCTTGAGGATATATAATTTCAACATGGCTAAAGAAATTAAACCAGTCAATATGAATGGCACTATAATAAATAAAACAGGATGTCGAGCGATCAGTCGACCAAGTTTTCCGTAAGCAGAAGATAACCAGAGATGTATACAAGCACAAGCCATGTTGATTGATGAGAATAGTCCTTATTTAATTGTTAGTTTTAAGACATAAAAATTTTATTTTTTGTTTTGGCCTTGAAGACAAGCCAAAAATCTCTCGTTCATTTTTTAAATCAGTCATCGTCATACTTTTTTAATTTTACATCCTTAAAAAAATCTGTTCTGAAAGATAAATATGAATTAAATAAAATGGCATAAAATTTCATTTAAAATTTATATTAAAGTACATTAGTGCTTGTTATCTAATAATTCTAATCTAGTCTAATCTAAATCTAATGTAAATAAATTCTTCTTATTTTTTATAATTCAATTTGATTAAAAATATGAAAAAAAAAATGTAAATATATATACAATTGGACCTTTATATCTCGAATCTGACGGGAACGAGAAAAAAATTCTAGATAGAAGGGTTTCAGGATAAACACAGTAAACAGTAATAAGTTTGATAGGAATTGTGGTATTTTATTAATACAATAGCCAGTTCAGTACATACCTGTATTAGGTATAAATAAAATATTTTGCACATATCTTAATAGTAGAAGTATCAGTTCGAAATGGGGTGGTTCCATAATACCCGCAGTGTTCCATAATACCACCTTTTCCTCTAATATTTTGTCAATAGTTTTTGTTGCCTGATTTTCTTCAACCAATAAAATGCAAGCCAAACTCGTAGCCAATCAAAGAAAACCAGCATTAATTGCAACTATGTTTCTCAACTATAGTTTAAGCTATCAAAATGTATTCGCCGAGCATTAAATTTGTAACTGATACATCAATCCATAATTTGAGATATAGAGGTGTTGAGATAAACATAGAAAATATATTGAATTTATGCTAAAAATGCAGAAAAAAAATTAAATTTTGAGATAAACAAATTCAACTGTATATATATAACAAGTTGATATGGTACGAATAGATGACATTGACACGTGTTTATGTACTGTACAAGCATATCTACTCTACATTCAAAAGTAAGAAATTCTAAATAATAGATAAACTAAAAATGTTATTTTAATATATCATTTATGTATTTTACAAAATAAAAAATCTTTTTGAAATTTTTATGTTTTTTAAAAGTAAAAATTCAATATTCATTAAAAAAAACCGACGATTTATCGAGTTCAACAACGTCAATGCAAACGTATTTATTTTACTTTGTCGGATTCTTTTATAGATGTTTATTTATAACACTATAGTATCGAATGTATATATAAGTTATCAGGCTAAAAATGATTTTTGAACAAACTGCATTCCGAGAAATTTTACGTTGATTGAAAAAAAAATCGAAAAAGTGTGTGTTGAATCTGCAATTATAACGGAAAAGCCAATGAGGTTCGTAGTTATTTATTGCAAGTTAATTGATAATACAGATCAGAAGCTTATATTGAAAAAATAATAACTTTGCGTTTTCTCAACCTTTACATTAATGGTCTCTTTTTTAAACATTGTTTCTTATGTACGGTCTATTTTTTACATAATCATTTAAAAAATATTGAATAAACTGTGCAAAATTTCTATTAAAAATGACATAACAAAATTCTAGCTGCAAGTCTAGAAAACAATACGAAAAAATTCTCATTTAGCATCACTTTAGTCATTTATCGTAATCACTTTAATTACTAACGGCCTTATTCACCAACTTGACCTTTGACTAGTGGTTATATAACTGTTGGTTAAATTCGACATGGATTCCTGAAGCAGTTGACATTCATCCTCTATTAAGTTTTACAAAACGTAAAACTTGTCGTGTCCCGTAAGATTAATAACAGTATTCTCGGCCAAATATCAACAGTTATAAGTTAACCAATAAACGTTCACGTACAAAAAATAAACTGAATGGTAATCGATAACTGCTCAAGCTCCAACTATTTATTTCGATGTACAGTACTTCATATTTTAAGGGAGTCGGCATTAGTATTCAATTTTTGTAGATGAAGACACGATTCTTATTTACCCAACAACACAAAAGTACTGCTTCCTTCTGGAATATTTATCTTCGACCTCGAATCATTGAGTAATGTGAGTCCTAGTCTAATCAAATCTGACTACGAAACTTTGAATTGTTGGATTATCTATTGAAAATTTAAATCGCTGACGGACAGGTTTGACCTTCGACCAAAGTTGATGGATATGTAACGTTTCAATGATCACCGATAACAGTGAGTTTATTTATTTATCTTATTTATAATATAGACAGGAAGAAACCTATAGACATAAAGTAAGACATGAAGAAGTACTGAGCTGACCAAAGCAATAAGCTGTCTTGAAACTCGTCGAACAGTCTGAACTCGTAATTCATCAGTTATTTTTAAAATTAAGTTCAGGCTACACATATACATATACACTATACTATCATTAAATATTGTCATGTTAAACAATAACAATACTTAACAATAGTATTTAATTGGACAATAAGATAAATCTGGAGCAATAAATCGAAAGTAGGTAAACTAACTTCAAACTGTATCTGAAACATAACTGAAAGAAGAATTGTCTACATAGTGTTATAGCGGTACTAATGAAAAACGTAAGACTGGTATCTCATGTCTCCTCATTTAGATTCAAATCCATATTTTAACTTTGTATAGTTTTTTTTGTTTTAAGTGTGTATAGATTTCTTAAGGCATAATCTCGATTGATTTCAGTAGGTTTTTGTTTCAATTTTATTTGAAACAATTTCTATTCTTTCCCGAACTTGTTTTTATCTAAATTTGAAATAGTCGTTTTAATTGAAACAAATTATGAACAATGTTTCGTCGTCTTTTCTTTCGGAAATCTATCTAATCCAAAGAGTTAATGAACCAATTCTGCTCCAATCATATAATAACTTAATTCCTATATTTTATAGCAAATGCCAATATCTTTAGATTGTTTATTATTATTTCACTTCTTTTCAAATTCATTGTTTGAGTAGATTTTTTAACACTTTTATGCTGTAGAATTTTTTTGCAATTGCGATTGTATTATCTGTTTTAATTAATCAAACTAAATATCGATTATTTTTATTATTTCTTTTAGTCTAGCATCTTTGAGAACCAGACAAACATTTAGAAATATTGTTTTAATTTTCTTAATACTTTTGAAACCACTGATTTGTCTGTGTTTTCCGCAAGTGATAATTGTTTTCTCTTCTCTTCACAATGACGTTTCATTTTACTTTTTAATATCAAAGGGATTATATCAATAGCTATATCTATATATATGTTATGGACAAAGTGATTAATACGGGCATTATGAATAATGACCAACAAAATCGGGCATTGTAATAAATTTCAATAATTTATCAAATTGAGCGGTCTTATGAATACTGCGACCACATAGTCGGGCAAAGTGATAATAATACGTTGAGGAGTGATCATCCGGCATACGTTAGCCAATCAGAACTTACATNTTTCCTCCATCGTTCTCGCACATCTAGAGATTCTTTCCATTTATATTTGTGATAAAAACACATTAATTATAATAAATAATTTTTTATAAATTGCTTTAAATTTATGGAGATTTAGATAGAACTTGTCTTCGAGATTTTCGAGTACTTTATGCTGAACATAGAGAAATGATTGAATAGTGACATTTAAACGACAAAATGGTATGTAAATGCAGGATTTTTGTATTGTGATAACGGATAGGATGCGAATATGGATATAGCGTGAAGGGAGTAAGCCATTGAAATATTTATAAGTATATGTTTGATCAAAATATTGTATACGTTTGAAGGGGAGGAGTAAACCTAAACGGGAACGGTTATGTCAACTGAGTTGGTAAAATGTAGGATAGAAAGTTTATTAAGAGTTAAAACCGAATTATCTAAAATATATTTAAGTTTATTCAATAAGGCTACTGAGGCCAAAGCCCAAACAGGTAAAGCATAGTGAACAAAGGATTGAATATTAGTAAAAGATATTTCTTGCTAGACTTTTCTGGCATTCTTTATTTGTCTTTATCTTTAATGGTTGCAGCTATCATTACCTTTAAGACTTCAAATTGACTTAAAATTACTAATTCTAATGAGTAAAATTCCAATATTAATTAATGCTTTTTAGTATTTTCTAATAACATCTCATAACAGATAACGCCACACAGAATTTTAAATTTGAGCTAGTGTCATAGTGTTTTTTTTTTAATCTTATATATAATTTACTTTTTTAGATACAGATATTTTATTATAATTCAACAAAATTTCTCTTTTTAAGCTTTTTTTTATTAAGCAATTTCTTTCATTCTAATTCCGATAATGTCGTTAGAGTAAGGTTTAGTTTCTTTAATCTTTTTAAAATAATTTAATTCGGCAGAATTTTATTTTTTAAGTTTTTAAACGTATTCTACTTCTATTCTTTAAATATGTCAATTAAATATAAAATCTTTAGATAAAAATGTTCTATAACGTTTAAGAATGTCTGTAAAAAGTTATATTTTTATTTATAATTGCTGTCACTGTTTATACTTATTATGTTTGGAAAATCAATTAGAAAAGTTAATCATATTACAGAAACATTTAAAATACAATATATTAATTAATAATTTTATTTAAAATTTATAGCAATGTTTACTATTTCGGTAATTGTAAAAAATGTTTGAAACAGAGCGTCAACGAAACCTCTTCTATGTGGATTACAGAAGTGTGTTCTTTCTCAAAATGTTATCGTTCGATTTTGATTAAACTTTGCAATTTTCCATTATTTGCACTGAGAATTTCAAAAATTTAATAAAAATGGGAATCAATTACTTCGTTTTTGAGATACAGTGAGATCAAAGTGATAATATCCATGCTCTCTGACACGATTCGCCTAGCAGAATTTAGGGGAAAAAATGCATTGCGCGAGCTTAAAAGAAAAATGGGCATCAAAAACAAATAAAACACAAAATCAACAAAACATTGCTTTGTTGTTGAATCGGCTCTCGGATTAAACAATAAAATAAGTGTAAGGATCTCTCCTCCTCTGCGCTGCTAGATGCAATGACCGTTAATATGTGCCCGGCCAGTGCGGATCGCCTGTCCACGACTATCAGTTATAAGGATCGCCTTTTCCTTATGGCAAGTGCAAGGTCGCCTGTCCTTGTCCGGCAAATATAAGGATTGACTCTTCAGTGCCTAGCAGGTGCAAGAATCGCCTCTTTCTTTCTCCTCTTCTGCCTCAATTCTATTGCGATACGAAAATGTCGCGCGATATCCATAGTAATAAAGGTTATATATAGACGAATTATACCATAAAATTACTGTATTATGTTTAAAATATTATTTAGGTAGTGTATATCTAAATTTTTTAAATATACTTATTCAAGTAAATCAGCTATACTCGAACTTAATTATTGAATTGAATAATAATATAGCAATATAAATTAGAAATGTTATTTTATTGAAAAAATTTCGATAAATTTGAATTTCAGTGTCTTATTTGCCAAAAATTGTTTCGTTTCAATAAAATAAAAGCTAACACTGTTCATCTAAATTATTTACGACTATTTCTCATGTATTAATTATATATACTGTAATATTTATTATCAAATTAATAGTAATTAAATAATTCAAAAATAAAATACAAAATTTTGTCATCGTCCTATACGTTCCATATAATNCGATTGTCAATAGATATTAAAGTATTTGTATTGGTAGATTCTAGTGATTTACATAACACATACATTTCGGGAAATCTCGAAACGCACCCAACTTATTCCATAAACTAGTTGTATTTCTAGTATTATAATTTGCTTCTTGTTTGGATAACTATGTTAATTTTCTTTCTCTTTTCGATGATTTTTTTCGAAATATCAGATTCATTAGCTTCGAATTTTATCCAAATTTATACTTTAAAATATTAAAATTAGTAATTTAAATACGAATTTTAATTAAGAAGAACAATAATTCGATTCAAGTTCGATGGAATTACTACTACTAAACATTATAATAATTATTTCTTTGGGTGGAATTTATTCATAGGATCTAAAATATATAAATGATAAACTATTTAAATTATTCATATATTGTAATCGAAATTTTGCTGTAGAAAATACACGGTTTTTCTTCTTTTCTTAATCATTATCATATCTTATAGTTGGAATTAGTTATTGTTAGAACAATGACGATTATATTAAACGCGTTTAAACTTGGGTGTTTATAAGGGTAATTTTCATTCATAAGAAAGAAGAGTAATCAAAGATGGATGACAACAATACGATCATTTAGCGAAAATCTCATCTTTAAATTGAAAAGACACAAAATTATGTCACATCGTCTGATGATTAACTCGTTATTGAACATTCGAATTGCTGAGTGAAATCGTTCGTATGGAGACAATATCCGCTATCTATTCTGTATTCAGGTTCTTTGTTCATTTCGTTTCATGACATATTTGTGTCTTTTGTAATTCAAGTTGAATGACTAAGTCAAGGATAAAAGACTATCTGGCTTTCGGGGAATAAGCCGTTGAAACGATAATAAAGAATAAAAGTATTCTACATCATTAGCAACTGCTATTTATAGATACATATTAAGGAAAAAAACATTCGTTAATTTTTTACGAACAACTTTTACATCTTAAATAAAATATCTTTTAATTGAAACGATGTATTCCTTAAAAATAGTTTATAAAATAAAGCATATTTATTACAATAAAATATAATAAAGTAATTTGCAAATATACATAATTGCAATTAAAATAGAACACAAATAAATGTCTCACAATTAAATCCTTTGAGTCTAGACATTTTTTTCTTGCTGTAAGTCTGGTTTAACTCGTCCAAACATAAGCAAACTTTTGTTATAAATGCAATTTGATTTGGTTATTGTTTTATCTTTAGGTTAAAAACCCTATAAATATAAATATGAATTCCTGATACATTTTAAATTAATTAAGATAATTAATTTCTAATCGAGTTCATAAACGGTAAACGAATTTTAATTAAGTAAATTCGTTATTATTGTTATAATAAAGAAACACAGTCCATGATATTTTGCATTGTAAAAAATATAATTATTTTCTTTATGAAATTTAAAAATTAAGAAATTAATTATCTTTTTTATACTTGTATTATTTATATATTATTCAATATAAAATTATATTTTTATTTCATAGAATAATTTTCTTAAAATTATTTTTCTTTATTTAAATTTATTTTATATTTCCTCGTAACTTATTTTTCTGTATTAAACATAGTATTAGTTACGCTAAACTTATTGTTTTTCCCTTCTTTTAAAATATTTTAATTATATAATTATTTTTAAAATTATAATTGTAAATTTCCCATTTTTATTGTGTAAGTATAATATTAATTATTTAAAAATAAATTGAAGTTTACCTTGAATTATAATGTGTCTCTTTACATTACAAAACGAACAAACTACATATATACAGCCTACTTATTGATTCATCGAATAACACAAATAAACATACAGTATTTATAAAATCCATTGATTTTAAAGTAGCTATTAATTTAGGATCGGGTTTACATGCGTTTAAAATCGCAATATATGCACATACACACGCAAGTAAAAATTCCAGATATACAGTATGTACTGCTACATGCACGTTAAATTGCCTAAAATATGCATTATGCATGTTAAAAGTGGCGGAAATGCAATAAAATTTGTGAATTGAAACGCATACATACGCCTGTTCGCGAGAAATTCTTATTAATGTGTATTATGTTACACTTTTTAGCTGGGAAATGACGAAATTTGCGTCTTATATTCCGTAAAATACGGTAATATCTGTACAGAGTCAAACACGAAAAATCAAACAAAATTTTAAACCTGTTTAGAAAGAAATTATATCTTTTATATTTGTCATTATTTCTTGTTAAATTATACGAATTGTTTATTTCAAAATGAAGAGATACTGTAAATTAGGTAGTCAACCCACTATGCTATCAGATAGTTTTGATCGCTTTACGACACTTTCCTTATTCTTTGTTACAAATCATAACAATCTTTATATCGATAAAATAATTATAAATAATAATTAAAACATTTAGTAACTAATAATAAATGTTAAGACAAAAGAAATTGCTGTAGTCTACTTTGAAATAACAAGGAGCGGATAATTAATAAATACGCGGTATATAAAAAAGCACGAAGATTAAAATCTAATTTGATTAAAGCGATATATCATTTTTTTTGCATTAGTTACTTCGATCAAATAATTATTGTATAATAAATTAATCGCTTAGTTTTACATTACATTTCATTTAGTAAGTAAAATACGTGAGATCTGACCGTTTTTTGTTCCTCCGATGGCGTCAAATGACTGACCTTGGCCCGAGCTCACTTTAATTTACGACTCTCCTTGGAAGATGTGCGTCACGCAGTTCCGGACGAACGGTGATATCGACAAACCTTTTTTATTAAGCGACGTAAAAGGGCACAAAATGATACGCTATAAAGATTCGATTCGTCTCGATACAATTAAGTAATTAACATCGCTGTCAGAGAGAATTACAATTTATACCTTATGAATACTACGCAAGGAGGGGACGTCAGAACCTTCGTCCGTCCGGCGTTTGGTGATTGGGAGATTTTTGTTGTAGGTTCGAAAAAAATTGACGAATCGTTCGAAGGCGACTTCAGGTAGATTGCTGATTTACTCACATTTTCCTGGATAACTTTTCGAGTCCTATACCCACCATCGAATCGGTTCTCACCGACAGTATTGACTACAAATCTCCAATACTTGACTATATTCGTCCTTGAATCAATGGACGGGATTGATCAGACGAATCCTTCCAATTACGAATCAAAAACTCGACTCTTCAAGTCAATCTAAATAATCATTTTCCCTGTGGGAGCCAGTCTAGGTGTTTTTAATTTACAGGTACAAACAGTTATCATCTACACTCTATCTCGACTAGGATCTCACGTATTCCAATTATCTAATACCCGAATTCATTTTCTTGAATTATTATAAAAGCGTCAAGTAAAACATGATCCTAAACTACGGGTTAATTTTTATCATTGGTATTAAATGATTCTATTTNCAATTAGAAAAGTTAATCATATTACAGAAACATTTAAAATACAATATATTAATTAATAATTTTATTTAAAATTTATAGCAATGTTTACTATTTCGGTAATTGTAAAAAATGTTTGAAACAGAGCGTCAACGAAACCTCTTCTATGTGGATTACAGAAGTGTGTTCTTTCTCAAAATGTTATCGTTCGATTTTGATTAAACTTTGCAATTTTCCATTATTTGCACTGAGAATTTCAAAAATTTAATAAAAATGGTAATCAATTACTTCGTTTTTGAGATACAGTGAGATCAAAGTGATAATATCCATGCTCTCTGACACGATTCGCCTAGCAGAATTTAGGGGAAAAAATGCATTGCGCGAGCTTAAAAGAAAAATGGGCATCAAAAACAAATAAAACACAAAATCAACAAAACATTGCTTTGTTGTTGAATCGGCTCTCGGATTAAACAATAAAATAAGTGTAAGGATCTCTCCTCCTCTGCGCTGCTAGATGCAATGACCGTTAATATGTGCCCGGCCAGTGCGGATCGCCTGTCCACGACTATCAGTTATAAGGATCGCCTTTTCCTTATGGCAAGTGCAAGGTCGCCTGTCCTTGTCCGGCAAATATAAGGATTGACTCTTCAGTGCCTAGCAGGTGCAAGAATCGCCTCTTTCTTTCTCCTCTTCTGCCTCAATTCTATTGCGATACGNATAACTTTTTTTATAAAACTTATATACCTGTCCTCAAAATTAAGTTTTCCCCCATTTTATAATATTTAAAAATATAAAAAGTTTTTCAATGAAATACCATAACAGATAGCGACCCCAAATGTTACTTGGAGTTAAACTCTTTGCTGGATTTTTTCGAAGCATTCGCAACGAAAAACGAAAAAAATAATTGTGTATGCTTATTACAATTATATAATACTTAATGTATGTTTAAAATAAAGAAAACAGATTAAAATATAAAATGTGGATGGAAAACAACAGACAACAAAGTGAAAAACAATAAAGCAATGAATTAAATATTAAAATCGAAAGATTTTTTTTCTACGTACTCTCATTTATATTTATTTTTCTACTAATTTATGAAGCATTTCTATACAATTTGTAAGGATATTTGTTAAATTTTAAACGCTCGTTATAAATAAAAGTTTATATCTTGTGTTTAACACGGTGTAGGCCTATATATTGTCTAAGCTTCACAGTATTATACTATTTCGAATTATAGGCTTACTTCACCTTAAAAAAAATAATAAAATAAATTGTAAGATGTCAAATGAATTAGCAGAAAATAGTTTTAAATCTACTTGATATAAAATACTTTTTCCTTCTCATAAAGAGAAAATAAATAAAATAAAATAGAAATGGCGTCACCGAGAATCAATGAGATGTCACGAAATTTTTAAGCAAGTGGACGAAGTAGTATACTAGTTAATATACTGTATTAAACTGTGCAGAAAAAAATTATTTTAAATTATATATAAAGCGTGGAGAGAGTCACGTATAGCCGGGAAATGAGGGTTGAATCTACGAAGACACTCAGGGGCAAAGCTTTCTCTGGTATTATCATAAATACATATCGTTTAATATGTATTTATGTACAATGTACGTAAAATTTAAAATTTAGATAAGCTATATTCAATACTTACATTTATTATACAGCGATAATCGAACACTCGTAGAAAGTAGTAATATATTTCTGTATGAAGTTTACAATAATAATTTTAAATTAAAAGACTGATTATTGGATAGAAAAAGTAACGTCAAAAAATATTTCTATTGTATAACTAACAAGTTGAAATTTAAACAAGAAATAGTAACCTTGCATTGTGATGTGCAATCTCTATAACGCTCATACATAAGTCAGTAGATTACCATTATCGTTGATTTCTCACAAATTATCATTGTAATATTTTCTTAAATCTTCCGTCTTTTTTCTACTTTAACCATTTGAACCTATTTTAAAATTGTTCCTTAAATATTTCAAGGACATTTTCGTTCTTTAAATATACAAAATATAAGGTTTTTTTATTTATAGGTGACGCAAATTATATTTTGCAAAAACATTTATTAAACACTTTTATGAAACTAGTTTCGACTTAAAATATTTTAACATATTAATTAATTTATATATNTTAAACGAGTTAAAAACCAAAAGGGCTGAAGAAGTAGCATATGGTCTTTTAGATATTTTTACAATTTTCAGTGCACCAAGTATTCTACAAAACGATAATGGCAGAGAATTCGCCAATAATATCATCAAACAAATGTGTAATATGCGGTCCGAGTTAAAAATGGTGCATGGAAAGCCCAGGCATTCACAAAGTCAGGGTTCAGTAGAAAGATGTAATCAAGACGTAGAAAATATGCTTAGTTCTTAGTTGGAGATTAACAATACTAACAAACGGTCGGAAGGATTACGTTTTGTACTAATGATTAAAAATTGAGTGCATCATACTGATATAAACTGCAGCCCGTGTGAGGCCATGTTTGGAGCAAAGTTAAAAGTTGGACTAAAGAATTTTATACTCAACGAATCGTTGTTCAACGTTAATACGGAAGAGGATCTACAGAGACATTTTAAAACTATCAACGAAGTAAGTCAAAGTTGCTCAAACTCTGAAAGTCCGGGTACCGTCCAAGAAAACATTATGAAATATCATCTGATAATGCCACCCTTACATAGCAATATAACTGATGAAGTTCAAAGATCTACATCGTCTTCACGTGAATAAAATCTAAACCAGGATGTTATTAGTATTACAGAATTGGTGAATGAAGAAGAAACAGTCCAAACAATTGATCCAAAAACAGAAGAAAAAATAAGAAGTGTGTCTAAAACAAGGGCTTTGTTTAATCTTAAAAAGCAAGCAGAAAAAATGATTAATACATTAAATTCCAAACACACAGCAACTATTGTTGGTAATACAGTAAGGATCCGTGTACCTGATGAAGATCAAGCCTGCAGTGATGGAAAAAATATTTTAGGTGCCGTTGTTGCGATTAAAGATAAAAACCTTTACAAACTGGGTACCAAACATGGCATATTAAATCTATTATATTCCAGAAACCAATTTACTGTTTGTAAAGAAAACTTTATTTCTGTTGGAGATGTACCGGGTGCAGAAATTTCGCTTAGAGAATGTGCAAGAATGTCATCAATTCCTGATGGTCACAACTATAGTTAATGCTGCTGAAAATTGGTTGAAAATCTAATAGATGCAAATGCTACCAAAGAAAAAAAAAATTATGTAATTCCAAATGTCATGAAAATCTTAATTGCTCAAATAAATAAACTAAAAAGCATTTAATTTTTTATATAATTTATACCAAAAATTGTTAATAATACTTTTCGTTAATATTAGTTTAATTAATATAGTTAATAGTACTTTGATATAATTTACAAAAAATAAATATTTATAAATGAAATAAGTGGAGTTTTTTTAATCAAGTTTAAAATTCTGTACTAAACGCTGTACGATACGCACACGCAACTCAGCGTGCCGATTGGCTAGCGTATGTCAGATGATCACTCCTCAACTTATTATTATCACTTTGCCCGACTAGGTGATAGCAGTATTCATAATGACCGGTCAATTTGATAAATTAATCAATATTTATCACACCGCCCGCCCTATTTGGTCATTATTCATAATGCCAGGTCATTATGAATAATGCCCGATTAATCACTTTGTCCATAACATATATGAGCCGAACTGATTTATATAACGTTATTGTAATTAATTCGTCTTAATTAATATATTTTTGCATGATTGTTACATTTTATATATAAAAGTTTATCGCCATATCTCAACTTACTCTACTTTATTTTTCTTTTTTCTTTCATTGAATGCATATACTTTACATTTGATATAAATAAATCATTATAAAAAAAAGTATATAAAACTTTTAAATTTTAATTTGACTTCTCCTTAGTTTACTTATTATTAAAAAATCATTACATAGAACTAATTTTTATAAAGATGGCGTGCTTATGCTTATTAAATCTGGAAGCTTAATGTTAGATATGCTTAAAGTTTAATAAAGTTGTTTGATAACTTGAAGAAAGACATAATTGTAATTGATGGAAATTATAAAAAAAATGAATAAAAAAACAACCTGTTACGCAAAGATGATGATTGATTGATTACAATTATCTTGATTGAATGCAGTCTCTTGATGTTTTAATATTTTACTAAGTTACCCAACAGGAAAAACAAGTATAAATATACATATTTAAATATGTTTTCTTCTATTGTATAACTTTTCATTAAAGATACTATTTTATTGAATAATAAATCGATTTGATTGCAATTTTGTAATTTCAAATATCTATTTTTTATTTTAAATAAGCTAATTATTGAAAAAGTTTATATAAGAAGTAATATTAATAATAACATCAGCATCAATATAAATCTTGGTAGAGCATCATATATTCTGTAATACAATCACAATAGTTTTAATGTTAAACTCGCATACGAACAATTACTTATTGTGATATCGTCACAATATCGTTTAATTATATTTTTTTAATTTAATTAAAAATAACTTTCCGTATCTATTCTCGATTTTCATCTACCTAACTCCCTTCTCGAGATTTATGAAGGACAGGCTAAACGACAGTGGGAATGTCTACAATTTGAAAATTGCAGTCCAAATAATACTTTAATTTTAAATACTTTGTAATATATAAAATGAAAAAGCATTAATAAACAATATTTTACTAACATTTATTAGCCATTAATCATATGAAATTAGTCGATAGGTTATTTCGATTGTCAATAGATATTAAAGTATTTGTATTGGTAGATTCTAGTGATTTACATAACACATACATTTCGGGAAATCTCGAAACGCACCCAACTTATTCCATAAACTAGTTGTATTTCTAGTATTATAATTTGCATCTTGTT